ATTACACACACCCGCAGACAATGCGAGACTAGCCAAAGCAAGTTGACTGTCCGGTGTGTTCACCGCTGCTTGCGTCATGCTTCATGACAACTCCTTAGATTCGAAACTCCTTAGCATATCCTTTGCTGCAATGGCCTGGATGCGTTGCAAGGCTTGATCTGGCTGCCGCATCCAGGGCGTCCTTTTCAAACGAGACCGAATGCTCTTGGGGCGGGCAGCATGCGCAGAGCAAGTCAGCACCAATGTCACCCGGCACGACCCACGTTTGTGTTGGCTTGATGCGGCTATGGGCAGAGGATGGCAGAGGTCTCTTCAGGTGCTCTCTTTCCCGAGGTACTGTACAGAGATGCCAGTCCTCTATCTGCCCAGGCTGATTGTAGAAGATCACAACCTGTATCCACGTGAGTTCAACCGGGGCTGCACAGCTCTGACATGCTTTGACAGTTCTGACGCAGGGCCGGTGTGCTCGCAAGCTGGCCGAGGATGGGCCATGTTGGATTAGCCTAGAACTGTACAGCTCGAAAACCAGAATCGAACAGTCCACCAAAAAGAAAACGTTCATCAGAAGCAGCGGCGAAACGAAGGGAGTAACAGCACAAGCCTGCATCCAAGGCACGGGAGCTAAGCGCATCAGCCCTCCATTGCCAGAGTCGCCTGTGCTGACTCTCAGTGACTCGTGTAGTATCGTGTGGTAATATGAGGTAAGGTGAGATGTAGTGAGTGATATGAAGAAATCATAGTGGCATGAAAGATTGGATTCAGAGGGCTTAGGGTTTACTGGCTCAAGGTTGGTCTTAGAGCTTCAGGGAAAGTGACAAGCCTGTGACAACTGCTTCCATCTCGAATGTTTGATCAGACTGCCGTGGGATCTGCTTGCAGGCAGGCTCGCTACTGCCAGGATTCACGTACTCTGGATCAATGGGAGCGTCAGGATGCAGTGCGATCAAGCTCTTGGCCTTATGCCAGTTCGCCCAAGAGCGGGGCAATCCGGGCATTGCTTACACATTTATGAGGTGTGCACAAAACATGGCAAGAAGAGACGGGTCCTGATCCCTGCAACATCACAGATGTTCCACACGGTGCTGTTGTAGGTGCTCGGCAATATTGTATCCCAAGCCGAAGCTGGTGCGCTTCTTGCGTTCCAGATCAAGTCGCCAGGGGGTATTCATGGCCTGCTGGCAGTTTACACACTTCACGAGCGAGCAGATCTCTGTTACTTGTGACATTGCGTTAAAATCATACAAGTAGAGTCGTGTTTGAGCTCGCAGCTTCGTGAGGCGTTCTCTTGGCGTCGCTCGTCGTTTCAGCTCAGTGGCCATTTTGATTTTGGTCGTACTTGTGAAGCCCAGCCAAATCAGAGCAAACCTCTAAACCCTTGTGGCCCTTGTCTCTTCTCTGTCTCTGTCTCTGTCTCTGTCTCTGTCTCTGTCTCTGTCTCTGTCTCTGTCTCTGTCTCTGTCTCTGTCTCTGTCTCTGTCTCTGTCTCTGTCTCTGTCTCTGTCTCTGTCTCTGTCTCTGTCTCTGTCTCTGTCTCTGTCTCTCTCTGTCTCTGTCTCTGTCTCTGTCTCTGTCTCTGTCTCTGTCTCTGTCTCTGTCTCTGTCTCTGTCTCTGTCTCTGTCTCTGTCTCTGTCTCTGTCTCTGTCTCTGTCTCTGTCTCTGTCTCTGTCTCTGTCTCTGTCTCTGTCTCTGTCTCTGTCTCTGTCTCTGTCTCTGTCTCTGTCTCTGTCTCTGTCTCTGTCTCTGTCTCTGTCTCTGTCTCTGTCTCTGTCTCTCTCTGTCTCTGTCTCTGTCTCTGTCTCTGTCTCTGTCTCTGTCTCTGTCTCTGTCTCTGTCTCTGTCTCTGTCTCTGTCTCTGTCTCTGTCTCTGTCTCTGTCTCTGTCTCTGTCTCTGTCTCTGTCTCTGTCTCTGTCTATTCCTCTGCCTCTGCCCCTGCCCCTGCCCCTGCCCCTGCCCCTGCTCCTGCCCCTGCCCCTGGCCTGACCGGCCCCGGCCCCGGCCCCTGCCTCTGCTTCTCTCCCGTAATTAATGCGTAACGTGGTCCACTCTCCTAATAAGTGCCCGGAACTCTGGACAGCGCCCCTGTATAGATCTGTGAGTCGTGCCTTCCCCTTCCCATTCGAGCACAGAAATTTGGCCCTTTCTCTCTTTCTCTCACTCACTCTCTCTTGTCCTACGTCAGACCAGCCAGCCTCTGCATGCCAGCACCAAAATCCTTGGAAGGCGAGACAGAGGCGCAGATAAGAAACCGCAGCAAACGTTGACCCGTCCGAGCTTCTTTTTCTAAGGTCGCTCCCATCCAGATGGCCACATACGCAGAGCGAGTCAGCCAGACACAGCGCCTTGGAACAACAGGGAGCAACAATTGCCAAGGTCGAACGAAGAAATTTGTGCAGGGATAAACAAAACCCCTAAAGGTCCTACGAGCAGCCAAGTCATACAGTGCACCATGCGCGAGGTAGACTTGAGTAGACATTGCTGCATGGCGCCATGGAAGTGTCATCTGTCCACTGCCCTGGCTTCAGGATACCTCGCTCAATCTCCTCGGCTGCTCGGACCAAGCAAGTCCACGCTGCTTGGTTGACTCGGGCTGCATGGTTCATTTACATTAGGGCGGCAGGTGAAGGCGGTATTCTAAGGGGATGCGACTCCAGATGCCCTTGACATCCCATAACGGCCGTAACCCATCGCGTGCTCTTTGAGTGCCACCCCAAAAGAGCTTTTGCCCTGTGCCGAGCAGATTCCTGAAATTCCTGAGATACGATCCCTGAAAACTTCAAACTTGAAACCTGAATCGTCGTGGCCATGTTTCGTGCAAGCGGCTGTGGTGTTGGGATTGAGGCAGCTGAAGCTATCCTGAGTGCAGCAGGCGGCAGGCGGCCCCCAACGTTCCACACAAGAGATCTCCACACACGCAGTCGAGCGGCATGCTCCCAGCGGCTCTCGCCAGGCTCGTCTGTAACCTGCAAAGCAACACAAGCACATCCCTTTAACCTACTCTCTGAATAAAAGCCTCTGGGTTTTTGCTCACCAGTGCCTCAAGGAACTCCAAAGGGGCACCGACCTGAAACTGAATTGGCCAGCAAACGCCACTTGGAGTTCCCACAATCATGACTGCCACTGTACAGTTCTCTGTAGCTACTGCACAGAGTCTGCACGGTTGGTGCTGCGCAGTGGCCCAGTCCGCTACTGCCAGGCCCACCAGTGCACCGGCCGCGCGCCGCGCTTGCTGAGGCGCCTCGGCGTCATGAGCCCAGTAGGCCACAGCGAAACCACGAGGCCGCCCAAAATGCGAGTATGATACCCACAGACCCAACAAAAGCTCCCACAGGCAAAAGCTCCCACTGGCGCCGCTAGCTGCCGTTACGCCTGCATGGCCTACATTCATCTTGTCACGTTGCAGACAAGCCACATCTTGTTTAATCCAATCGGACGTCCGCTCCAGGAGCTCATCCTGAGAAGGCCCCCGCTGCTACACAACGAAGTTGCAGATCACCTCTGAATCATCCCAATCAATGCGTTGTGCACAGCTGGGGTCACTTTGTGCATCCAAGCTACTGGTACCTCAAGAAGCGGAAACGGTTTGGAGTTTTCAAAAGCTTCTCTCTGCACTGGCCTTGCTATACAACTTGTGCAGCCCTGTGTGGAAAGTCATGCTGACGCCGTGGGGAGCCGACGAAATTCTAAATTGTTGCCCGCGCTGCACTTGTGCTTAAAAGTCTGGCTTCTCACTTTCCAGGTTTGGTGCCTGGGGCCTTGACTGAAGGAAGTCAATCCTCACATTGCTGGCAAGCTGCCTTCTCCAGCAGAGACCAGTCCACGAGGCCAGAAGCCCTGCCTCCTGCAAGCGCCGGGGCGGCAAAGCAGACATCAAGGCTTTGAACAGAATCTTTTCTCCAATCGTGTCTCTCGTTACGCCTCGTGCAAGATCTCATCAGTCCTCGATCTTTGAGTTTTCGATTCACCTTGACCAGTGGGCTGTCACAGAGAAGCGGCATCACCTCCTCGAGATGTCGCACTGGTCACACAGCTTTTGTGGATTCAGCTCGCTGGTCCTTCAGCACATCAATCTTTCCTGTCTCCGCCGAGCACGCCATGGCTGTGCTGAGTACTGCTGGCTGAGTCTCTGATGCATGGCAAGTGCTGACTGCTGCATGCTCACTCTCTGCGCTGGCCTCTGTTAGGCAAGCAAAAGCATGTACTAATGTACCAGAATCGAGCTAAGGGCTGAAAGCGCATCATGCACGTACACTGTTTACGAAAAAGACGCACTGAGATGTACTGAGCACTGCATTGCGAGGCGGGCTGCAGAGGTTTTCAGCTTCAAGCAACGAAACAAGCAGAGGCGCCACGTGCTGTTTGTAACGTGTAAGGTTGAGGGTCTCGTGCAGCGGGCAAGCTCAACATATAGGTAACCGCGGCATCTTACAAGCTCGAGGGGCTGTGGGACTTTCTGGGTGTAGGGTCTGGATTTTAGAAGGCAGAAGGTGGGAAGCACATCACGGGGCCGTTCGGGTTTCGTGTGTTGATCTGATGTTCGGCACTGGCTGAGGTCAAAAACCCGCACAGACGGTTTCACACAGTTGTGATTACATCCCATAGAAAAGACTTCACCCCATATAAAAAGGGCAAGTCCTCACAACGAGCGACCAGCACGCATTCGGACAAAAGCGCCCGACTTTTTGACAGCCAGGGCCTTCAGAGCTCGGACTTCGTGCCCTTGGAAGCAGCGCTGCTTCCTTGTCATGCGCGGTGGCCCACTTTGGGAAGCCTCCGCCCTACGATCCGCCTGTCTCCGCGTATCAAGATTTTTCAGGTTGAAAACTTCGGGGTGAGGTTTTGGGGGGGCTTAGGGCTGGAAAGCCGAACATTTCGGGCCCAAGGCTTCGGAGTGGATAGGTGAGCAGGGTGCAGGGTTTAAGGTTTGAGGAGGACAGACACAGGAGCTGGAATCAGGGCTCTGTGTGCCGCGGCTGTGCTTTAGCACTCAGGTTCTTGGCATGGCATCGGGTTGCGGACTGGTTGCGGGCTCTAAGACTCGGCGGGTTGAATGCGTGAGGGGACGTTAGGACCTGAGGATCGACATAGGATGAAAGGGTATGATTTCAAGATTGCAAAGATTTGTATGATGGGAGGGGCGTGGAATTCGCAGGGTGAAGAACAGATAAAAGGTTTAGGAGGCTTTGGGGCGGCAGGGACCAAGGCACACATCGTTGGAACCGAGGCACGTCTACTTTGAGTTTTGAGAAACCCTGAACGCTGAGTTTAGCGTTGCAGGCTTGGGTGAAGCCCGAATGCCGCCTTTTGCTTGCGATGCTCCCCAAACCGGGGAAGGTTGTGGGAACACTTGTAATCCTTGCTGTAGGGATCCCCCACCCGAACACCACAGCTGTTTTCACTCAGGCCCCGACTAAGAAACTCCTCAATGACCGCCTGCGGCGCGTCAAGGCGGTCCCATGTGGTTTCGGGGTTACAATGCGTTTGTGAAAATTCAGGCACGCTTGTTCTTGGCTGGAAACTTGATCGCTTGTGGTCAGTTTGTGCTGCGGACGGTGCAAGGTTCAAGACCACAGCACGCGCCTCTTGGGGAGCCATTTTAAAGCAATACTGAGCAGCTGTTGGACTTTTCGGATGTTTTTTGGGGGCTCTCTTGGCTTGAAAGTGGCTGCTCTTGCACCTTTTGTACGCGGGGATAAAGCTTCTGCCCCGAGACCACTCATGAATTCAGACCCTTCTAGGCATCCTGGAAAAGGAAGGGGGGAGGGGGCCTTGAAGATGCCCCACAGGCCGATTTCCTCCTCCAAAGTGCGGATGGGGCCGCCAATGGTTCGCGGATCCACCGGCCTAAGCTTCCAAGGCCCTACACTGGGCACGTGCAATTTCAGTAAGAAATCCAACTTACACACACACACACACACACACACGCCAAAAAAACACAAAGTGCATCCTAAAGAGATAGGATGAGGTCGGGGTCGCGGGTGGAGCCATAAACGCTTCTAAGCCCTAAAGCCCAAAAACTTTCAAGCATCCTGTTTACCTTCGGGCCCGGGGCAACACCGCGGTCTCCGCCAGCTGCCGCTGCCTTTGGCTGACTAAACCCCAAACCCGAAAGTTCAGGGAATCGCTCTGACCAAGAGACGCTTCATCCGTTGGACTTGGCAGGGGCTGGAGGGGCAGGGGTTACGGCGTTTAGGGCGCCTAGAGGGGCTCAGGTGAAGGACTTGCGCTGACACGCTCAAGGGTCTTAGGGTTTAGGGCAGAACCATCACGGAGCGGCGCCGAAAAAGTCACTTCAAGCGACAACCGCATCCGCAAAGAGGAGCCTCGTTTGAACCACAGCAAGTCAGCGTAGAACAACTCCAGCAAGCAACAGACTCAATCTTAATGTCCTCTCACCATCACAGCTCTTCGTACTCTTCGTACCAAAGTTCTCCAAGAGCTGCTCGCTTGGAACTGCCTCTTACTAATCCCAACCCGCTTGGAAGCTTTGCGCCAGGACCGGAACAATTCAGCTTAGATTTGTCAGACAGAGGTTGGAGGGTCATAGGTTTTAGGGTGCGCGGGCGTTTATAGTGGCCGGGTTTAGGCTTTCAGCGGTTTAAGCTTGCAGGGATCGACGGAGCGACGGCTTCGTTTGCACTGAGCCCTGCACGTGGTGCCGCGCTTCCACAGGCCGTCCAGCAAACTTTGCAGCTGGACACCTTGGGCGAGCTGCTTGGCGGGCGCTGCGGCTTGAGGTGGTTCATCGTGAGATCTGCCAGGCCTTTCGCAATCCGCTCGGGCATTGGATTTAGGACTTTGGAGGTAGCGGCTCTGGTGGAACTCAACACTCAAGGCATGCTTAGGGCGACCCGGCATCCAAAGGCCTCAAACTGCTGCGTGCTCATGACTGGAGAAGATGAGGAGACCCCTGCAAACCACTCAAGCTGCTTACCTGCTACAGTGCCACTTGAGAACCGCAGGGGGGTGGCATGCAGCGAGTCCGGCCTTGGCCACCCCGAGAAGGCCAACTTCCTCCTCCAGGGTCTTGAGAGGGGCTGCGCGCAGGGCGCGCAAGACTTCTGGATCCAGCTCGGAATCCAGCGGCCTCAGCAAAGTTGGCGCGAAGTATTTGGTCACAGCCCGCTGTGCCAGCAGCACCACCGCCAACAGAAGCAGCACTTTCTGATCGGAGCTCTTTCCGCACAGCAGCGCCAGCAAACACTGGCACAAACAGTTTAGAACGACAGACGGCGAAACTTGGCTGGAGATATTTGCTCATGGCAACAGGCAACGCTGGCGGGGGCTCCTTGCTCAAAGTGGCAGCTGCAGCAGCATTCACTCATTAGTTCACCCATTCGTTCATGTCATTCACATTCCAATCCTGTCCAATGCCTTCCATTCCTTCCGTGCACTCACTGTTATCTTTCAACGTGTTCGCTGATTCCATTTCAGGTCACTCATTACTTCATCCCAGTAGTTCATGGGTGTAACTCCTTGCCTTCCTTTCGTTGGCGCATGCATTCATGCAATCATGCATTCGCATAATTCATCCATTTATCCATCCATTCATTCCGTCTTTCAGTCTTCATTCATTCGTTCATTCATTCGTTCATTCATTCGTTCATTCTTTCGCTCATTCATTCGTTCATTCATTCGTTCATTCATTCATTTTCATCCATTCACTCACATTCATCCATTCATTCGTCGGCGTGCCCCACAGATCTGCAAGCACCCGAGTAATGGGTCTCGAGAAGTCAGCACGCGCCTCTCGGCCAGATCAGGCGGAACTCAGACAATGAATTGCTTCATAAAGTCCCGTAGGAGGCTGCCTCTTTCTCAAGCCAACGCTCAGGTATGCTCGGGGTTTTTGGCCTTGGGGCGCGATGGGTGCGAGAGGGTGAGGTCACCGGGAACTTATTCCACAGAAGAGTTGCGTGACGAGTAGCAGGCTGTTTGCTGTTGCTTGTTCCAAGAGCTGCTCGCTCGGAACACTACCCCAAGCCCAACCTGCTTGGAAGGCTTTGGGCCAGGACCGGAACCGTGCGGCTTAGATCTGTCAGACAGGGTTGAGAAAGGTCACAGGTGTAAATGTTAGGGTGATGGGCATTTAAAGTGGCCGCTTTCGGCAGTTTAAGCTTGCAGGGATCGACAGAGCGACGGCTCCGTTTCCACTGAGCCCTGCACGTGTTGCCGCGCTTCCAGAAGCTGTCCAGCAGCAGGCTTTGCAAATGCACGCCTTGGGCGAGGACTGCTGGGCGCTGCGGCTTGAGGTGGTTCATCGTGACATCTGCCAGGCCTCTTGCAATCAGCTCGGGCATTGGATTTAGGACTTTGGGTGTAGCGGCTCTGGTGGAACTCAACACTCAAGGCATGCTTAGGGCGACCCGGCATCCAAACTACAGTGCCATAACAGCAATCCTGAAATGAGGCCGGTTTGAGTTGTCCAGCCGAGCTGCTCTGGCCCTGAATGAACTCGAGCACCTCAGCCGCGTTACTCTGATCAAGGCATCGCGTCCTTTGGGGGCTGCGGGCGGCTTCTTCCGGTAGGCAAGCAGCGCCTATCGAGATCAAGATCGCATGGCCTCAACCAGGAAACCGCCCCAAACTCCAAAGCATTCCGGCCCTGAGGCAAGGGCAGAGCCCCAAGAGCTTGACATCTCCTCCGCCTCAGGCTGAGTGCTTGAGGGTGCAGGGCTTTCGGACAGCGGGTGTGAAGCAGGGTCACAAGTCCAGGGACCTCGGTGTGTCCATGCCGTCGGTCGCACGGAGGCGATCAAACAATTGCGAAAGCTCTTTACGGCGAAATGGGCTCGAAATCAGGCACCCTCCGACGAGAATCAGGCCTCGCAGGCACACGGGTGCATTTGACAGGTGGAAAGCCTCACCCTGAACTCTACAACCCAAGTTCTGGAATGGTGTTGGCCTTCGCGGCGTTCATAGCGCTTGAAAGCAATTCTGCTTAAAGTAGGGTTGCAAGATGCTGGGCGTCCGGCTTGGCAGGGAACGTGGCAGGATGGACACGCGCGTGAACAACGCTGCCAAGCCAAAATGCCGGCGACGCACTCACGGAAGCCATCTGACGTGGAGGCACTGGTCGTGCACAGAACATGTGGAGATCCTGCGCGAATCAACGCTAGCATCCTAAGCCCTTCAGCCCTAGCCCTCCCGCATGACCCTTCACGTGTAAGCGCACATGCAGTTGCGAACAGATACTGACCCCGTCATTCCGTTACCTGCCAACCGATCCAAGCTGACTCATTTCGACCACTATGTACAGCGCACAGCGCCATAGTTCAGCGCTTGTGCAAATGTGTTAGTGCGCACTGGACCGCAAGTTCTGCAGGACCAGATGCAGAATCCAAAGCATTCGTTCATGGATGTTTGGTTGAGCAGACTTTGCCCTACGCCGATGGTGTCGGCGCGCATTCGATCACCCGAGAAGCCCCGTCACGATCACAGGCGATGGCCTGAGCACAGTGGCAGCTCAGATGAACCTGGTTCCCCAAAAACCAAAGTGAGAGTCCGTCTAAACTCGGCTCGTGGAGTCAGGGAAGCAAAAGATTCAATTATCCAGACCTGATCCCGTCGCTTTCCAGGGCATTATGCGTGTTACAAGCCGCTGGAATTCCCCCCTCACCCCTGCCTGACGCCTGCCTTTATCGGTGAGCCCTCGCCACTACCTAACGCCTCTACCAGCGCCCCCGCCCTTTATCGGCGAGCCCTACCCAACGAAGTTCCGCCGCCGAGCCGTGCGCCATCAATTTGTAGGTTCTTGGCCCTTGATGTCCCACCTTGACTAGTATCCTGCAATAGCCGAGAAGTCGACAGATGCTCATGTCGAGATGCTTGGCTGCAGAGGACGGCGGCCCAAATACCTGCATGCATGCACAATCGTGTACATCTGTACTTCGTCTGCTGGTACATGGTGCATGATGGACCTTGACATCATTGGATGATGCTTCGGTTGGTCCAGCTGCAAGTCCCCCCCCCAATTCCCCTCGCGCACCTGCTACGCCACCAAGGCCCAAAATCACAGGCTCCACGCCTAAGCGTAATTGGAGCTCATGGCCTCTCGGCAGAGACAGCGGCATGTGTGCTGATGCAGATGCCTTCAGCCTTACTTCCAGGAACAGCGTTCACACTCTCAACATGCCTGGTCCACGCCAGAGAACTCTCGCTGCCTCGCGAGGGGCAAAGCAGGACAAATTGAAAAGAAAGTGTCAAGTCTCAGCATCATTCAGCATCCATCAATGACCGACTTGCAACTCTGCTGCACAAATCTCAAGAATCGACAGAATGTACAAACGCTGTGTCCATGGGCATGGCTCCTGTGCCACAGCACCCGCCAAAGCCAAAACCAGAGGCCCCGCAGATCCTCGCAGCCGCGATCGGCGCAGAACGACCTGGGGACGCAAGACGGTTCCCGAAAACACGCCATGTCAATCATGAGCACTTCGTCCACAGGTGGCGGCTTCCTTTCTGGCAGAAACTGCATCGCTAAGACCGATGCCACGTACGGCACGGTGAGGAGCAAAATGGGAGAGCAACCCGCCGCGACAATCCACATGAGCTTCGACGCTGCACCTACGAAAGGTTGAGACATGCCAAGTGCGGAAGACGCTGCGCAGCATTTGCTTCGACATGATATGTGAATAAATCTCCCGAAGAAGCTGCCTGCATCTTGCATCCCGGCGGAGATCAGCAGCAGTGCTGACTGGAGCATGGCTCCCATCTGTCGCGAATTTGTAGCGGGCCACGCGACTGTTGTTTTCTGGTCAGCACGCTGCTTATGCGATTTACGAAACTTCCTCTGCATCAAGGGAACTCCACAACGGTCTTTTGAAACACGTGCATGGGCCCACCAACCAGGTCCCGAAGGCGCCCAGGCAGCGCACCAGGCGAACCACCTCTGGGGTCATGATGCTCGTGCTCGTGTGACATTCTTCTTTGGCAAGGTTCTCACACACACACACACACCAAACAACAAAACAAAACGAGTCTCACAAACGAATCGCTCTAGATAAAGGATGGAGGTGCTACCAAAGTTCTGCTATCTTGCATGTTCTCACAACACGCAGACATTCCTCCGAATCCTATAGCCACTACTGACTTTGGGACCTGTCATTCATCAAACGCGTACAATTCTTCAGAGATCCTCACAATCTCACATCTTTCGAGGGTCCTGCTGACATGGGACACGGCAGGTGGACTACTCAAGCAGGAAATCTACCAGTTTGATCTTGCCAAGGCAGTGCAGCAATGTATGAAGAGCGGAAAACAAAAAATAAACAAGAATAGGCGATGCCATGATATGCGGTGCTGGTTCTTGCAGCCTAACAGTTCAGGGCTATTGTGCTACCGCCCCTTTGCTCATTCCGATGAGCAGCAGCCAGTGCTGAGAGCAGCGATCCGGCCAGACGCGCGGAAGCCAGGTCCCTTCGCGGTAGCCCTGCGCACAAATGAGAACTCCTTTCTGTCACCCAAAGAGGGCAAGCAGGAATCAGCAAAACTGCTGACGCCTAACAAGGCTTGGAAGATCTCCTGCTGCTGAGACAAGGCTTCATTGGCCACGCCACACAGCAACAGTGCCAGGAGCGCCTCACTCGCGGAGCTCACTCTCCGGACTGAACGCACGCCATCGTTGCAGCAAAACGCACTGATGTACCGGACCAGCAACTAGTGCCATCGAGAATCAGCCACAGCGCCTGGATCCTGCAGAAGCAGCAAAATGCTGAGGAGCAGCACTTGAAATCATGCCACGCTACGAGGCGTTGCAGCAGCTGAGTAGCTCCATGCCTGTCCTGCAGGAATTCTTCCACTAGGTTGTCGTGCTGAGCCTGCGCAGCAAAATGCCTGTCCGCCATCACCTGAACCTCCAAATGCTGCACAGCAGCTTCCTTCGTCTCCGTTGCGTGGGGTGAAGCTTCTTTAGCTTCCGAGCTCTCCTTCTAGTGGTACTCACATCGGGAAAACCCACACTAGTCTGATATGGTCCATGGTGCTACGGACACAATATGAAGTCACACCGCGGTTTACTTGAAACGCACAGCGAGACCGGGTATGCCCTGCCCGGGTATGACCAGGTATGACCGGGCATGACCGGGTATGCCCGGGTAGATCAGGTATGACTGGGTATGACCGGGTACGCACGTACTCGGGCGTACTCGTGCTGCAATCGCGGAACGCAGCCACAATGCAAAGCTTACTGCTTGGGATTGGGCCAGCATGGCTTGGGCAATAGGGCTTGTTGGGCCTGAAAGGTCCAGCGGGGGGGGCACTTTTTTGCCGCCCCTGGGGCGAGCATCGTGAGCATCATTGGGGCCTCGGTTCTCCTCTGAAGCCCTAGCCGGGCAACAGGCCAAAACCCAGAATTTGGGGGAGGCCCGGTTCTCCATGTTTCCCGCCACAGCCCCTCACACACTCTATTGGCCTTCCAGGCTCGAATTCGCTCGCAACATCGGACGGAGAGCCTCTCCCATGAGTCAAAGCTTTCTGGGCATTCCTTGAGCGTCCTTGGCTGTCTTCCCTGGCTTCAGGCGCCAGCGCCTCTTTTCGCCTCGAAGTCGCCTGGAACATCACTGCAAAAGCAACTTTGGGTTCGTGAGCAATTGCAGACACATCTTTGGATCTGATGGAGCGTAAAGGTCAGCTATTTGGGAGGTCCGAAGCAAGGGTAACGTGAGTTCTCTGTCCATGACGATGCATGAACATGGCCAGCAGAGTTCGCTTTTGCATCCTTACCCTTCTTATGGACCTTCAGATGTTGGCTCTGCCAAGGCCAAGTTGCAAGGAGAGGCACAGGCCCAGCAGCAGCAATGGCACTGCCAGCAACATGCCTTGCGGGAGACGGTCTCAAGCAACCCACCACGGAACGCAGAAAGAACAATGCAACTACAATGCAGCACCCTGGATTTTGCAGGGCGAGCCGCTCACTCGAAAAGTCATGCAGGGACCAGTAGGACAGCTGTCAGATGCAAAGGATGAGAAGTAGCCATTCAGGCCTCAACCAGATTCTCTGATGACAAGATTCAGAAGGTGTTCATCTGGTGTCATTCATTGTCATTCTCTCTGAGCGCTCTCTGAGCGCTCTCTGAGCTCTCTCTGAGCTCTCTCTGAGCTTTCTGAGGCGCGCAGCCCCAAGACTCGGAGGCTACAGCTTGACCCAGGAATTCGCCAAAGCTCCGGATGAGGGCAGCAACCTGGGGGCGGGCTCACATATGCTCTCTCCAACCACGTAGAAAACTCGTGCTCTTCCACTTTCTCAAGCAATTAAAGTTTAACTCGTTTAACCTCCTTTTTCACTCAGAGCGCAAAGCCCAAAGCCTGTGAGACCCTGCCGAGGTACTGCCAGGGCACGGCAAAGGCGCGCAGAGCTCACGGCAACCTGTCTCCGAAAATACAAGACTACCAAAGATTCGATGCACGTTGCTGCACGTTGCTGAAGTGGCCTCGGTGCAGCAAAACAGCAGAACCAACCTCAGCAACAGACAGAGGGAAGACTCTGAACTCTCGAGCTGAGGAAGAGGGCGCAAAAGCGGTCATAGCCTGGCATTGGTTGAAGGGAGGGAAGAAGAGCTGTCACTGTGGGCTTTGTCGCAGCCCTCGAGTACCGTGGTGACGTTTCTCGATTAGATGGCTCTCCGAGCCAAGGAGCTGCACGGCTGCACCGGCAAAGCCCAACGCCACGGCTGCCAGCAACACTGAGTTTTGCACCTGTAGATGGACTACCATGACTGCCACGACTGCCAAGTGTGAGCAACGGTAGGGGCAATTATACAGCAGCTGCCGCATGAGGTTGGGGACAACAGTACGTGTGAGGTCAGCAAAGGCTCAACGCATTTGTACAACTGTTGTACACACCGTGTCACAGAGGCATCCGCCCCGTGGGCCGTGGGCCCTCCAACTTCCTCCCTGCGTCCCCTGCCGGCCCACCAGAGCAGCATCATCGCCGGGAGATCCGACCGTCGGCAGAAGAGTTGCCACAGAGAGCGCCATTACGAAGGCTGCAGCAGCCAAACCTGGCCATGAAGATTTTCGTCTTTGAATCAGGGCGAGAGCAATTGACAACCTAATGTGGTGAAGCTGACAAATCAGTCAGACAGGCGCCGCAGTGGTCCGCAGCCCTCACTGCTGGCTGCCTCCGAAAAGCTTGCTTAGCTGGCTTGGCTCATCACCTTTGGTCAGCACAACTGTAGCCACTGCAACCTTGCTGCCTTTGTCATGTTTTACGGCCCTTTTAATACCCTGTTTCTACCACCTCAGCCGCACCTTGGATAGGAGCACTCCGAGGGATGGAAGGACGCTAAAGCTGGCCGCCGGCAGGGCAAGGGAGGTCCAGCTGGGCAGAGCAAACAGATGTTTTTGGTAGGGAGGCCTTCGGGAGGGCAGCCTACGAAATCTCGCAACATGAAGGCTGAAGGCTTGATGTGAGCAGACACTTAGCATCGGCGAGCGTCCCTCAACTCAACTGTCTTTGCCCTGCGGAACTCCTGAACGAAGGTGTTCTGCGTGTTTGCTCCTCAAACATCTCGATGATCATCGCCATTGGAAGCAAGCCTCCGTGGATGGACTCCAGAAATGCTTTAAGCACTTCTATTTGAAGCTCTTCACAGCTGTGCGGCGTCATCACTACACTGCACTGTCTTCATGTGTGAGGGAGTGAGTGATTTTAACGATCTGGCGGGGCTCTAACTACCCGGTAACTACCCTCCCGACACCCAGCTGTGCCCTATATGCTCATACAGGTGCGGAAGAACTGAAACATTTGAGAAAGAGGAAATCAGAAAACTAAATGCAAAGTCAAAGAAAAGCAAAACGTGAAATCGAAAACAAGAGGCAGACGAAATCTAAAAGGCAGCCCTTTAACCATAAAAACTCGATTCTACCTTCGCAGACCTCAAGCACTGCAAGCCCCAATAAGACTCCCAGACCACTCTAAGATGGAGGGCGCCACGATGCGATTTGGCGCCCTCTGCAAGGCGAGAACCATGCTATTTACGATGTTTGGGAGGCCTTTTTTACCGGAGAAGGGGGCCAGCAGGGGCCTAGGCGAAACTTTTGAGCATCTGCACCAGTCAATGGGAACCCCATGGTGCAAGCAGTGGATTCTAGAAGCCCTGAAACCCAGGCCTTAAAATCTCGAAACCGCCAGTTCAACAAAAGAAGCCTTAACATTAAGGGTTTGAGGGCTTTTATCGTAGTTTTGGGAGCATCCCACAACAGCAGGAAGAATGTTTTGCTCCACTGCTGGTTCACGAAAGTCGGTTCGCGTGTTGCGAATTTTGTTTCTTGAGGTGTCGATGTTTTTTGAGTCTTTTGTTCTGATGTTTGCTTCTGATCGTGTCTGTTTTTTGAAAAGGGATGAAACATGATAAAACCATCTCCAGCGTACCAGCAACACTAGACACAAGCCACGTTTAGTACACCAACCTCCGGCTGTATGTGCAGCAGCCAGGGTTTGGAGGCAGCCACGGCTTTTGCAGGCATCGTCCTAGTGCCAGGTGCTGATCAACCACAACGACAGGTGAGGACTCAGAGGAAGATCATGGAGAACATAAGCGCGTGATAGTGATAGCGCTGTACTTTCTTGACTTCCACGCGCAGACTTACATCACAGAAGTTTCGAGCATATCTGTGTGTTGTGAGGGCTGGCCTACACCGGACAGTCATACTAGAGGCGACGACTCTTCGGACGAGTTGCACAGCACTCATCGTCGGAGTAAGCATCCTTAGGCAGCCGCTTCTCAAGCTGGGGCGAGTAGGCAGCTGGCTGCTTTCATGAACACCAACGATGCTGAAAATCAGGCTCCAAAAGTATCAGCGGTTGGGGATGTTTGCGGGGCTTCGGTCCACTGTGAGTCTGCGGTGCAGCCCGGATGATGGGGCCAACTGAGAAGCTTTAGGTATCTGCACTACACATCTCCGAAGTCACATAGCCCACGTTGGACGCATGTCAACTCATGTCAACAACATTTTACCGCCCCCTTCCCAGTCAACTGCTGGCCAAGCTCCTCTCGCCGCGCGAAGGCAGCAGGCGGCAGGCGAGGCTTCGGTCCCATGTTCACGGAGACGCCATCTCTACTCAGTAGTTACTCAGACTGTTGGGACATGTACGACTCACTCTATGCCTCTTCCTGCCTCACCCTCTGCACTCTCTGCACTCTCTGCACTCTCCCTCTTCTTCCTCTTCTTCCTCTTCTTCCTCTTCTTCCTCTTCTTCTTCTTCTTCTTCCTCTTCTTCCTCTTCTTCCTCTTCTTCTTCTTCTTCCTCTTCGTCCTGCTCTTACTCTCCTTCTTCAGGGCAAGCTGGCAAGCCACAAGTTCTCGAGGGCAAAGCAACTTGCCGCATGGCCAGGCAACGGTGTGCATCTGCAGACCGTTCTGCTAACGGAACCAGGGAACCACAGAGCGTCTTTCAGCATCTCGAGCCGGTACACTAGCTACCACGCACTCGCACAGCCCGTTGGGGGACGCAGTCAAAGCGCGTGGTCAGGGACCTTGGAACTGTGGACGTTGTCTTTACAAATGCCATCATGCATCAGTTTGCTTCCGACTTCACTGCTCAAGTATTGGCACAACGTCCTAAGCCCAGTTGGCCCACTTGAATGCAAGGTGCCTTCGTTCATGACTCCAACATCAGCTGAAGCGGAGAGCTTGCGTTGGACGACAATTGAGGTCAGCTGCCCTCAGCAACACTGTAGCAACACCCCGGGCTGACAACTCTTCCTTTACTTAAAACCAAACAAGTCTCACCGACATGATGACGTTGCTGGCATGGCGTCCAACATATGCAGAGCCGCTAAGCGGGCCTTGTGGTCGCGTCATAGACATCCAGAGCTTGCCTGCCTTGCTTGCCTTGACAATATCAAAGGAACCTCCGTTCCCCATGGTTGGAGCCAACAGTAACTTGTTGCAAGCCCTGGCAGAAATTGCCACTAATCCTCAGATCAATGCAAAGAGCCTGTACACCGGAGAATTGCCTGCTCCTGCTTTTCTTTCTTGGAAAGGGGAGCACGCCAAGAAGACGGCAGATGCATGCAGATGCCAATATTCAGCTCTGTCAACAATGTCGACTACTGCTAGCTGCTGTCCTCTTCACAAGGGGCGACGGAGACCAAGCTCAGATTCTGAGCTCCCTTGGTCATCCTTCCAAGATGATTCCATTCACAGGCGTATGTCCCCTGCTCTTAAATTAGAACTTTGGCGCATCAACACGGTTCGCTTGTTGGGCCAGTAGCAAACCCGCGCATCGGGGCGCTGGGTCGCTGTGAGAGCGTCAAGGCCTCTTGTTTTATGTTGATGGCCCGCAATCTGAAAGAGGAGATTCAGTTGAGCAAACAGGTATTGACTGCTGCCTGTGAGAACTGACTTGCGCTGTCAAATCAAGCAGAAAGCAACCCTCTGTTGTCAGGAGTCTAAAAGCATTTCGATTACATTACTGCCTGCTTCCCTTGCACAGGGGGCCTATTGATCTGTTGTTCACTCTTGTTAGCGACGCGTCTTGGGAAAATTAAAAGCCAACTAGTGAGAAAGTGCAAAGTCTGTTCGGCGTGAATCTGAAGAGACGTTGGTGATCCTTTGGGAAGACCAGGATGCCTCGCGCGCAGGTCACTTCCTCCAAGCACACTTACGGCGGAGTCTATGTCATCGCCCTGATCTGTGCACTCTCCTGCTCGGACAAATTGCCCACAGAAAGGCCAGCCGACACTGCACTGGCGAATTAATGGAGGACCCTGGACTGGCCCGGACTGGCATGGGAGGCTCCATGGGAACGCACTGCATCTAACACCACCATGGGTTTAGATTCCTGCTCCACGGTGGCCCCCCGCTTCCGCCTGCTTCATCCAGGCCTCTCCTCCTTACGAAACGCAAAAGGGCTGGTCGAGTCGATGGATAAGTTCACGTCTCCTTGTGGTCCAGCTGAGAACGCTGCAAAGACGTCTCTGACAGGAGCCGTCACAACTTAACGGGCAACATGTCTGCGCTGGTCATACCTAACACAAAGGACCGTACCTACTGAGGAAAGTTGCTGTGCTGACTTCAATCGAAATTAAAAACAAACCCTCCTGGAAGCCGCGTGGCTCGGCAAAAGCATCACTTCTTGAGCCCTATGACCCTATGACACAACATTGCTGCCAGACTTGCCGAGTCTGAGGCCGCAGAAGCATCTGATGAAAAAACTACACATTGACAAAGTCGAATGCAAGCATATGCAAGCCTAAGTCCGGCTGAGTCATGTGATTCGCCACCATCAGTCAGAGACACTGTGGTGAAGACCTTGGGCATGCGTCCACGCAGACCAAATTTACTCACCCTGCATACTGCTTCGTATGCTACGGATGCCTTTCATCTAGCAAAGCAGCGTGAGCAACTATAGTTGTCTTACGGCTGTTCAAGACAGCAGACCTGCCACCGTGCCAGCATCTCCACATAGCCAAGCGGCTCAGTGTCGCCCGATGACGAGCAGATGAGAGTTCATCAAGCCACGTCTGGGCAGTGTGTTCACTCAAGTGCTCCCAGGCAGCCTATGAACCCATGAAAGCAAGCGGCCTCAGCGCCCAGGTCGGTGTCACGACAGCGCAGGTGACAGCGGCCAAGGCCTGGATTGCGTGCTGGACTGTGTTGGACCGCCAGTGATACGACCCTGCCCGGCTTTTTTCAGAGGACGAGACGAAGAGAGAAAACTCAGATGTTTATGGCCAAGGCATGCCAAGGGGCTGATTTCAAAGTCCGTTCGCGACTTCTGGTTCAAAGCCTTGTCAGCCAGACCTGAGAGCTCCAAGACTCAAAGGGCTGAACACGTGGAACAAAACTCGTTCTGGGTCAGCATCAGAAAAGCTCTGGTGCATTGTTGTTCGCCCCACCTCATATGTGCCCTTTCGCACCCTACGTCTGCACTTACTTCTGCATGCACTTCCACAAATAAAACACGTTGCCTGGGCTTGGCTTCTGGCTGTCGGTCATGCTCGCCTGCCTCGTCGTGGAGTCACCTCTACGTAGCGCTGGCACTTATTGCTAGAGAGCTCTGCGTGAGGATGAACGAAAAGCCCATATCCCAAAACATGTCCCGACATCGCGTTGACTTTTTAAACTCTCGTCGCTATCCAATGTTGTGGGAATAGTCTTATCATCTTGGCATCATTTGCAGTACAAGCTTAGTAGTTCTGGGAGACGGCTGCAATTTCATTGCTGTGTAGTACAAGCTCAGTACTGGGATCAACTTTTCCGGGAGCCGGCTATATCTTCATCGCTGTGTAGTGCAAGCTTAGTACTGGATTTTCGTTGACCTGTAGTCAGTACAAGACCAGTATTGGGGTCGACGTTTCCCCTATATATATATATATATCCTGTTTTACGTTATCGATGCTTTAGTCTTATCGTTTTATCAGTACACACACAATTGCTCATCTGGGGGGGGCGCTTCCCTTGACTTTTCGGTATAGGGGGCTTTATCATCTCTCACATTGCAGCTCATCGCGCGCGCGCGCACACGCGCACACGCAGGCTCAGAAGGGAAGGCCTGCGTGGTCAGCTAGATCGACATCTCGAAGTACTTTGCGACCCAGACGGTCGAGCCTCGAGTCGCAAGCCCTGCTCACTAGCTGACCCGTTGGAGCCTTTCACAACCCTTGTGTGTACCTCTCTCTAGGAATCCTCCAACAAGCAACAGCCAAGAGCGAGTCTTCGATTACAACGGACCAAGCAAGCCAAGGTCACGGCACGAGAAGTCGAGGAAAATCGGTCAGGACCAGAAGCTGCGCAGGGCAGGGCACAAAGCAAATGCTGGCACATTTGTGGGATGGTCGGAGAGCTTGCCGCTTGCCACCAGAAACACAATAACAGGGAAAATCGCCACCCTCTGACTCCCTCTGCGCTCTTTCTCAAACTCAGTTGTTGCAGAGTTACCTACAACCTGCTACCTACATTGGACCTACATCTACCTGCCATCTTTGTCGATGCCGACGGCTCAACTCACCGCTCGCTTCTCCGCCAAAGCAGCTGCCCTGCAACGCTGCATGCATTGTGTGCAGCTTCCAAAAGGACATGATACTACAAACAGCTCGTGGACACGCTTGGGCGACTCTCGAGCGATGTAAGCTGCCCACGCTATGGCAAAAGCTTCCAAGGGGGCAATGGGCCCCCGGAAGTCCAAGCAGAAGACGTCCTGCCGCATCCCAAGACACTACCATCCATAAGCACCCCCACACCCTGAAGAAGCCTTCATGTCATGAGTAGGCGCGACTTAGTTCAGGCAGCGCAGGATCCTTTGACACCTTCCCGAACATCAGAAAAATGGTGTTCGGATCCTTAGCTTGCAAGCAGCTTGCAAGCCACAACCTCTCCATCCAGTCGAGAACTGCGGAATGCAACCAGGACAGCGCGCACTCTGAGAAGGCAAACCATCTTGGCGTTGCCCCATCCTCTTCCCTCCCGTTAGAGGATCCTGTACGACTCTCCATTGGAGCCCCTTGCAGGGACCCATAAGAACATATAAGAACCTTCTGAGGGACAACAAGAACCTTCACCTAAGGAACTTCGGTGCGCTAGAATCCTAAGGCCATTGGTGGGATTTGACCGAGCCTCTGTGTTCCTTCAGCCCTTATTGTAGGGATCCCATCAACGGGTCCTGAGGGAGGGGGGTGGTCGGCGTGGGTAGGGGGGGGGGGGGGGGCGGAGGTTAGGGGAGAGATTCGGGCCGGCAGGCTGTTAGACATATGCCCCGGCCGAGTCCTGAGGCACGACGCGGCGCTCGAGTCTTTGATGCCCTTTCTGCCTTTTAGTCCGGAAATTTTCTGAGGAGAGCACTGCATTCACCACGAGCTGAAAATTCTTTGCGCTCGCTTTCTTCACCTGGCACTGTGACGTCCGATTGGAGCGTCGGTTGGTGAAGAAGTTTGAGATAAGGTCCACGCCTCTGTGCTGGCACAGTCTCTACCTCAAACCTTCTGTTACACTTCTAAACACCTGCCCAACACACAAGGCTTTCAGCTGTGGACAGATCAGCTGCAAAGCCCTAGGCTTGGGCATCAAAGGAAGAAGCCAAAAGGGAGCAAATCCGAGGCCAAAAGTTCCCATGGCACCCTGCAAGTTGCTTCAAATTTGCTACAATGTTGCTGCAATACTTTCAAGGCACTTCACGACAGGCCCCGAAAGGGAGCTGCTGGCATTGGCGGACTGGGACTGGCATCTGGGACCACAATCGGATTGGACCAGTTAAGAACGGATAAGAACAAATAAGAACGGTGTAAGAACGGTGTGAGTGTGCCGCGATGCCCCGGGGCAGAAGTGGTGAGAGAGTCCCATCCGCCGGACAGCACAGACAGCAAACGGAGCCGTACTCTGCAGAAATCTGCTTTGACAACCTTACTCCAGCTGGGCTGCAGCTAATAACAGCCAATCAGAAGGCAAAGCGCCACACAGCTTTCCATGTCAACTCATCTATGGCTGACTGGCACGGGGTGAGCCACTGGCTGCTCTCGTCGAAGCATGGACCAAAACATACTTCTTGCTAGACCCAGTCAACCCCTTCTTCCACCTTTTTCCCCATGCATTTCCGCGCACATCTGCGGAACATCGCTGAACTGTTGTGGTGCGGCAACATCTCATCCCTGCATCTTTTTTAGCTGGAAGCCCGATTCACATAAACTAAGTCAAGTCAGCATGATGGCTGCACAAAATCATCTTTCAAGCGTGACTGCATGCACCCGTCCAAAGAAGGGCAAGGCATAGGAGTTCAGCTTCTTGTCCTGAGTCAAACGAAAGCACAAAAGCAACAACCGCCGTACTGCTAGACAGATCCAGCACAGGCCCCGACCCATCGCGGCTTCAGATTCTCCATCTTTGGCCTGCGATCCAGGCTCGGTAGCAGATAGCAGATGTCGGGGACACCGTGGCAGACACTCCAAAGTTCAAGGTCGCCCTAGTCGAACCGCTCAAAAAGAAGGCAACGACCGAAGCAATACTCACAAACATGTTCTTCGGTAGCAGGCCTTTCACTGTTGTGCACATACTCCACTGACACTCTCCTGCAGAAGCAGAGTTTTGCAGCTGATGCTTCAGGGTGTTATCCATAGCACTGTGCGACTGTCTTCTGCCGCACAGTCGACAAGTGCTGGCTAGTTGTGCTTCTCGACTGATTCAACATTGTGCCACACAGCGTGTCTGATGGCACGAATGGAATGTCCTTGGGCTGTCCCCGAACACATTGGTATCGTAGCCGATTTTCACAATGGTCTTCCGCGGCCTGCATTGGCGAATTGAAACCGTGCTCGAAGCGAAGTGAAGGAACTGATCATCACGACAAAATTACATGCGTGGCCAAAAGCCCACGGAGCAATGAGGGAGGAAAGCCCGGCAACAAGCGAGTGCTCTAGAATTGAAAACGACAATTCGGCAACAGGACTCCCGGCAATAACCAGTAATCAGGCGGAATCACAGTGCAGTAAGACAGCTCTATCACTATCATAATATTCTGTCGTGCTCCGCATGCCTCAGTGGTAGACCGCGGAGCCAATCTCCACGTTTCATGAGCTCCTCGACCTGTCATGTTCTGCTGCGCTGAGTATGACGCAAAACTACACTCCCTTCGAGAAGCTCGCCGGTTCGGCATCCGCCCCACTGTCATACAGCGTGAAGAGAGTCCCCCAAAAGTTCGGAACCACACTGCCGATGTATTCCTTGCTCAAGACGCCATCTGTCTCGACAAGTTGCCCAGAGCGAACCGGAAAGGCAGGAACTGGCCTGGCAGTGCTCTGACTTCTCAGAGCCAGCTGCCTGACACTGCAAGACACCGCAAGCGCCATCTCGAGCCCGACTTGCACTCTCACGCTCCGGCCGAGCTCGGGGTTGGCTGCAGGCATGCTGTTTTGGGGGGCCTTGTGGGCATAGATTCGGCAAGGGCTCTGCTCATCTTCCCTTGCAGGAACAGGCCAGTGCCACTGCATGGAAACTGCAAACTGCAACCAAAATCTAAACTGCAACTGCATTGCAACTGTGCCTCTGTGCCGTCATCAGGATTTCGTCCGAGTGATCAAGGCGCAGCCTGGGCACAAACACCCTCTCCTCCTGACACTGTGCTGACTGTGTTGCTTCTGCACTCTTTCTGCACTCTTTCTGCACTCGTCACTTGCACTCTTTCTGCACTACCACACTTGCGTTCCTCTTTCACACTTCCCTGCAACAGGCATTGCCAAGCAGCTCGTAGAAGTGCGGGTAACCCCCATCCTCAGAACGCGTCCGATGGACCTCCGCAGAAAAGCCGCAAAACTGACAGAGGAGCCTCACGAAGTTTCACGCCATGCGAAATCTCGAGAAACTCTGAAAAGCACGCACCTGGCAGAGTGTGTAGCAGTCCGTGGAGGTGAGCCATTGCCTTACAACCAGAAGGTTTGCAGATCAAATGACGGCAACCGATACATGATAGTACATATCACCAAACCTTCATCTTCGGCCTGTGCTTTGCGGCAATGTCCTCCTCCAATGCCTTGCACGCACGAGGTACTCTGAAAATCCTGCAGACCAGCTTGAAGCCATGTGACTTGTCAGACTTTTCTCGTACCGGCAGAAAGGGCCTTTGACAGAACTTTCAGAGGAGTCTTGCAGATCGTCCGGTGAGCAAGGTACCCACCTGCAAAGTGGCCATCTTCAGCAATTTAACCGTGCTACCATCCGGAACTATCAATATCCGCCGAGGCCTTGGGCCGTAGGTGTTTAGGGAGCATAAAGCAGGTACCCCACCTCTAATGTGTGCGGGAGCCGACCGTGCATCAGGACTGGAGCACATTTTTGGGCTCGGCCACAGCCCCCGCCAACCCCCCACCCCTCGACAATGACCATGAGGGATTTGCGCAATCGGTGAGCCTGGTCTTCACATGCGGCTGCGCAGGCCCCGGCCGAGGCGTGACGCGTAGCGTTAAAATTGTTCTTGAATTGTATGTACTCTGCATCGTTTGGCCGACTTTGCTGCCTCGGCTTGCCGCAGTCAATAGTCTCTTGTCTAAAGATGTCCAAAGCAAACTTTTGAAAAAAGAGCTTACTGCACTCCCGACTCTGCACGTGGGACCAGGATAGTGCCGAGATGTGCATAGAACGACGAGCGATGGCCTAATGAAGAGTGCGACAATAAGAGTAAGTAGGTTGAGCAGGGTGACGGGAACTGTTTGCAAGCGCCTTTCAAAAGTCGGACAGGGTTCGCACCCTGCAGCCACTCTTCTGGCACCTGGCGTCACATTGATGCTGGGCCTTCGCTTGCTCCAACTGTGGGATGAACCTTTTTGTTTACCCGTTGACGAACCATGAGAATGCATACAGGCTCCGCCCCTGTGGCACCACATAGCTCTTCGCGTATGCGCCTGCACAATCCGTACAGTCGCTGCATCTTCCCTCCTATCGCGATTTGGACGCAGCTGCGGGGAGCTGGGCTCTGGGCCAGTAGGCGTGTCTGAGAAGCACATCGTCGCCGATGGCCTTGCGAGACTTTAGGGAGGCTCGCACCAGGAAGCTGAGGCCTGGCCACGAACTGGAATGAACATGTACGGCATGAACGAACGTGCATGGCATCTTTGAAAGTGCGCTTAGATCAGAGCATGACCCACAGCCAGCACCAAAGCTACCTCGGATCCAGCGTTCCTGCTCTGGGAGCATCTGCGGGAGGCAATGGCTGGCTCATCATGGAAGTCTTTGCTCCATGCTGTGGAGGGGTCCGCGTCTTGGAGGACCAACTCACGACACGCCTGCGGAGAGGACACAACCACATGAGAGCTATTGCATGCCATGAAGTCAACCGACACACACGCAGACGCCCAGACAACCGCCTCAATGACCTCTCCCAACTCCAGAACCACTGCCCAAAGGAGGATGGTGAAGAGCTGAGTTCCCACCTGTGAGGCTCATCAGCCAGGAACGGACAGTTCCATTTCACCCGCAGCCAGAAAAGGCATTCTCTCCGGTACAAATTGTCGGTCGACATTGTGGCAACTGCTGTCCATCACATATGGTGCTGTTACCGGCGCAGATGTTGCATCCACAGGGTGCAGTTCCGGCTTCGTCTCCAAGGATTTTACTGGATATTGCCGCTTGCGCATCGTGATCCGCCGTCTCCTTCAGTCCTGTGCCTGTTGGTGATGCCACGGTCTTCAGCATGCGTTGCTGTATGTTGCTGTACATTGTTCTTGTGCCGCTCTGGCATTGTAAGCAGCTCTCCCTGCAACCCCTGTGGGCAGCCACCCAACCGCCAAAGCCATCACGCAAAAAGCATCAACATGGTATGGTCGAGATTGAAGGCTTGTGGTCTTCCCAGCTGGCAACTGTGAGCTACCACGTGTAACTTGCCATGGTTGCGGTCGTTGCAGACTGAGGCTAACACCATGTTGGCAGCCGCCACCGCACTTTGGACGCTCATCGAGCCCTGTCTCAAACATTGCTCGGCCTTGAGCCTCACCTCCGGCCTGACTTCTTCGATGCCTACATGGCATATGCTTTGCCCCCCCAAAGCTTTGCCCAAGGCCCAAGGGGAGCATCTTCTCGTCAAACGCATCTCTCTCTCAGATCTAGCTGGTCTCTGAGAGCCGCGCGACGGGCGCGGCAAAATCTAAGCCTTGGCCAACATCTCTTGTCCAAGCTTACCCACATGGCAGGCATTCTTAAGTCAACATTCTCGCAATCATCTCTCGCTAAGCACGAAGCACTGCAGTAGGCTTGCAGGTAACAGTAGCTTTTGACCTCCCGTGATTGCATCGACTTGTGCACCGGGCCATGGCACACTTGCTGCATGTCCACAATCATCTCCGTACCCTCAAAAACCAAACTGGCCGTTTAGCTGCACTGTTCTGTAGCCCGTAGGCACCTAATTCCGCCTCAATGAAGCTGGCCTTTGGTTGTCGACGGGGGCCCCAGACACAATTCGTGCGTTTATCTTCCGAATTGCGGAATCCTTGAAAAGGTCTCTGCCACAGCCCAGCAACTGTGCCTGCTCCCTGCGAAGGTAGCGACAGCTCCAAGCTTCGAGGAGCGAATCTGACAGGTGACAAGTCTTCTCTTTGAGGTGTGTCAGAATGCTTTGCAAGCACAGCGCACGTCTCTTGCAGCTTCTGGTAAGGAAAGTATATACGTCATCGTACGTCTATCGTCATCTCAGATCATGGGCACACCACATACCACATTGACACCACATCGACACCACATCGACACCACATCGACACCACATTGACACCACATTGACACCACATTGACACCACATTGACACCACATTGACACCACATTGACACCGCATGCCATGCTGCGTGCAGGCGTGAGGCACCGAGCCGTGCCCCCACACTTCGACTTCGAGGGGCTGCAACGTCAAAGGGATTGTCAACGCTGTCCAAGGACAGGGCATCTTGCAGGACACGCTGGCGACATTCTGCGATGACCTTGTGCATACTCTGGAGGGATCACGCAAGATCATCGAAAAACAGATGCCAGGAATGCATTGTGCATTTGTCTGCAACGGACATTCTCAAGGAGTAGGCTGGACTTTCCTAGCAAGTCAAACTGGGCACTCGGACGAGGAAGGCTCACCAATGGGAGCGAACACATCCTTGCAAATCAATTCAAATGCTAGTCACAAGTCACTGGAGCATGCTCCAGAGATCAGGCTTTAGATACTCAGGTGATTAGAGACACGGACGGGTAAGAACTGCTAGCAGCTGCGGTTGGCAGTCTAACCTGTCCTCGAAGTCATCCCCCCCCGCCAATGACCGCGTAAGCACCGTGCCTGCTGAGATGAGCATCGCCGCATGTTCAGCGCAAAAAGGCAACAGCCCAGCGCCCAGCCTTGAGGAGCTGCTAGCCCCAGAGTCAACCAAGGGCTCCTCTTGTGGAGAATTCGTGAGGTGATTCATTAATGCCGTGCTGCGCCTACTGCTAGAAGGGGCGTTGCGAAAGAACGCCTTCGCACCACGTCTTCTTCCATCCAGGAGGCCACTGTCGTAGCGCACACATTCATGGGGATCCTTGGAAGCAGACAAGACTGGTGCTACTTGCCTGTTTTCTTCAATGACTCGCCTGCTGACGTTCTGCTAAACCTTGCTAGTCAGTTGACTGCGACCCTCCACTCATGGTCAACGATGCCACCCAGACACTCCTGGCCGTCGGCTGACGTCCTGACCTGGCCATTCCGCAGGACAGATCTGTTTCTTGCAATTGGTGGGTGCCGGATCGTCTATCCGAAAACGCTGGCGATCGCTCGCATCTACATAGTTGCACAGTCAGGTCAGGAAGTTATGCGATTCTTTTTGTTAGATTTGTTGTTCCTGTTTCTGCTCGCCCTGCTTCTGGCCCGAAGGAAAAAACGCAGAACCTGCCTCAGCCCTCGCACCATGCCAGAAGACCGAAATGAGGATCGCTTGCCTTAATGTCTCCCAGATACTGCCTTCCCCCCCCCCCCCCCCCCCCCCCACCCCCAACCTTCCCGGTGCTCTTCTTCCTCTTCTTCTTCTTCTGCACGCTTTAGAACCCGGCCACGAGGCGGGTTCGAGTGCAGTCAGTGGTCGACCCCGGTTTTCGGATTCCTAGGATACATCCGAGTCGGCTCTGTTCTCCGACTCCTTTAGCCCTCCACGCTTTCCTCACTGCACTCGTAGTACCGCTGCTCTCTCTCTCTCTCTCTCTCTCTCTCGCTCTCTCTCTCTCTCTCTCTCCCTATGTCTCTCTTCTTCTTCTTCTTCTTCTTCTTCTTCTTCTTCTTCTTCTTCTTCTTCTTCTTCTTCTTCTTCTTCTTCTTCTTCTTCTTCTACGGGGCTTGAGGGGCCCAAGGACCCCCCGCGCGCTTTCTCTCTCTCTCTCTCTCTCTCTCTCTCTCTTTCTCGTGGGTCCAGGTCTTTTTTTCGTATTCTTTCTGGTTTTTTTGTCGTGTGTTTCATGGTCTTGGGTCTAGGGTTTAGGGTTTAGGGTTTGGGGTTTGGGGTTTAGGGTTTGGGGTTTAGGGTTTAGGGTTTAGGGTTTAGGGTTTAGGGTCTTTTTTTCGTGTGTTTCATGGTCTTGGGTTTAGGGGTTTGGGGTTTAGGGTTTGGGTTTAGGGTTCAGGGTTAGGGTTTAGGGTTTAGGGTTTAGGGTTTAGGGTTTAGGGTTTAGGGTTTAGGGTTTAGGGTTTCGGGTTTAGGGTTTAGAGGTTTAGGGTTTCAGGGTTCGGGTTGGTTCACAGGGGTTTAGGGTTTAGGGTTTAGGGTTAGCGTTTTAGCGTTTAGGGTTTGGGGTTTAGGGGGTTTAGGGTTTAGGGTTTAGGGTTTAGGGTTTAGGGTTTAGGGTTTAGGGTTTAGGGTTTAGGGTTTAGGGTTTAGGGTTTAGGGTTTAGGGTTTAGGGTTTAGGGTTTAGGGTTCACCTGAAACCATAAAAAAAATATATAAAACAAAAAAAACAACACGAAAAAAGAACCATCAGCCCTTTCTCATCTACACAAGACTTATCAACATTTTTCTTGCTTCATGTACCACAGGCCTCGTAGCTCAGCTGGGGCTCATCATCGCGGCGCTGGTGGATCTTAAGCAACACCTGTTACACTCATTTGTCGGCTACAGTTGTTCAGAATCACAAGAAGAGCCCTTCACTGTCAGAAGCATCGAGGAGCTGTGAAGAACTGCACAAAGAAACATTTCCAGACCCTCCCAACGAATCTGCTCTGACTGGAACCTGCCGGCCTTGCCGGCGCCGCCGCCCGCTGGCTGCGCGGGCCGATCCCCGAGTCGCGGAAAGGCCGGTCGGGCCTGTGCAGAGCACTGGAGAGGCCCTCGAGTCGGGCTCGACGATGGGCTCCCCAACGCCCGGGCTCCCCACTCCGGTGACTCGCAATGCACACACTGCTGCTAAAGAGACTCTCAACTGGGCTGGGAGGATATGTTCGGCAGTCTTTCCCAAGCAGTCCGCACCTCGTCATCATCAGCAGGCTGAGCTGCAACGGCATACCCCTGCTCGGCTCGCAAATCATAAGATAACTCTCAGCAAGCAAGCAATTACAGCTGCCAATCTGAACAAGGCATGTGCTGAGATTTCTGCTTCCAGCGATTCATCTTATCAGGAATCACACGGTAAACTGAAGTGGAGTTCAAGTTGTATTCACACAAATCTAAAGTGCGAACCTAGCAAGAACAGACCTCTACCCTTTGCAGACCCTTCGAGCTGCAAAGGCTTCGACACTGCAAAACTGTGTTCAAGGCAACAACGAGACGCTTACCGTGCTTCGCTTTGCTACGCACTAACCAGCAAGACGCAGAGGGGAGGCGCACAGCCAGACAGCCTAACAAAGTGAAAAATGCCCTGGGATTTGCAAGAAGGCAATCTGAGATATGAACCATACTATAACAAGATGAGTGCAATGCAGCCAAGCCCCAACCTTGCGGCAAAGTCTTGTGAAATGGTTGCAGCTGAGACGCACCGCCGGGTCCATGCAGCATGGCTTGCAGTGTCGCATAGAAAGCATGTCAATTGAGCGATTTCAAGCGACTGGCTGAACTGTATCTCATTGCAGTTTCTTGCAACTTGCTCGAACATGAACCGACAAGAATCTAGCAGTCTAGCAGCTCGCATCGGCTTTTCGGATCTGTGCGGCTTCATGCGCTCTGCCTAAGATCTACTGGAGACCAGGGATATGAGCAGCTCAAGCTGCGGATGGCAAATTTGCGTTGGTTAGCCGCGGCACTTTCAAACCCGCACAGTCACAGGAGATCACATGGCATTCTGCGGCATTCCTTAGAACTGGCCCAGAGGAGCAGGGGCATCCGCACCCTTGGGCGAAGGCAGGGGAAGAAGCGCTGCACGACATGGCCGCCAATTCTCACGTCCTTCACAGGGAACGGACTAGTGCAGCCCTCACAGACTACGAATGCTAGTGGCATCAACCATCATCAACCACGAGGGGCTTGCAGCGCAGCCGAGCACAAGTTCCAGTCTGTCTCCTTGCTTCTTCCTCGTTCGCATCAAGATGCTTTCAGACCGGACGCCATGACGCAGAATCTTCATGGTGGCATCCCCTTAGGACCGAATGTATACACTCATCAATACTCATTAGATTCAAAGGAACCCCGTGCACACTCTCCAAAATAATGTTGGCTCTACCTCGTACGGGATTGCTCTGCTCAGGGCATGTGGTGGAGATTGTTGGCCAGCTGCAGTGGCAGAAAAATGTCTGGGCAGCGAAGCAGAGGAGCGGTCACAGTGGCTCTAGTCGCCCCAGCTTTGGCTGGTGCTTTGGCCTTCCTCGGGCCTCTAAGTTTGGCCCAGTGCTTCGTGCCTTGTAAGAAAGCAAGATGGCGTAAGGGTTGTCACGGCAGTGGCTCTTGGGCGGTCCAGTGGCACCTCCTCAGACCTCCTTCTCACAAGTTTTTCAGTCTGGAATCCTATGGTTCTCAGGCGGGAGAGCGAGCGAGCGAGAACGGCTCCGGAGACAACTTGAGGGCGGGCATGGTGCGTCAGGGCACAGCTCGAACTAGACGGTCACAAGCTCCCAAAAAACAACAGTTCTCGAGGCACGCCTCCTCTCGTCCATCGGCCATGCTAGCTGCTTTCGCAAACTCTCAAGATCATGACAGGGTTCAGAACGGCCTCGAAGGCTTGAACCCTGCACCGCATCTCTCGTTCACCAACGCTTCCGGCTCCGGCGTGAGACACGCTGAGAGCAGCTCCTCTGTAAATCTTCTGTTTCCAGTGCGAAGCACGTGAGGCAGAGTGGATCTTCGAGGTCTGTGTCCCGAGCATCCGAGTATTGGCAGCCGTGGGGGTTTTTAAAGACTTAGCGCGCTGCGACAACGCGGCGTGCCCAACTCTCTCTTGGACAACATTTTGGCTACCAGTAAGGATTGCTGTAAAATAGCCATCGCTTGCCAGAGCCCCGCTCCTCCCCTTGCAAGAGCACTCTCCGTCTCAGCCTGCAAGTGGACAATCGAACAGGCACGAACTTTCGGAGTGCTAAGGCTGGCCATCCGCTAAGGGGCGGGCAAGTCTCGTAACCTTAGCAGCCAGTGGATCTGCAGGACACCAAGCAGCCCAAGCAGACCAGCCGAGACTAGCCTGGACTGCAGATATGTACAGCCTTGGTAGCCAATGTGGCCTTACTCATGCTCTGCTTTATGTACTTCTCAGCCCATGGCAAACAACTGATGTCCTGAGCCTCGAGCCATTGCCGGCTTGGGTCACAAGGAGGAGGCCTCAATGATCATTCTGTAGAGAGACAAGGCTGCTACCGGCCCACATGATCTAGAATCTAAGTACATGTTACATGTTCGTAGAAACTTAACTTAGCAACCTGGGCCTAAACAAACCTAATCGTGATCCAGATACCAGATTCGCGCGTGTTCCCTAGAGGCGTTCTTCAAGATTGCAGGCTGGTTGTTGACCCTCATAACCGCACAGTTTGAATATGCCTGACTCTCTGAGCATGTGGCTGGTTCAACTTGACGCTAGCGGGAATGCCTGATGTGCGTGTCACCATCACAACCACACTCACGACAATTACGCACCGTCCCTGGCCTTCCCGGCTCGCTTGGCTGTGAGCCTCTGACCTGATTTTATTGAATGTGTTGAAATAAGCTGAACGAAACAGAATGAAACAAAAAAAGTAAGTCTGCTTTGACAGGGATCTTCACATGCAGCACCGTAGCTTGGCGGCTTGGCACATGCGCGTCGGGACCATTTGGGGGCTGTTGGCGACACATGGCGACACTCTCCGCTCTGTGCTGCGCACTGCTGCGCAGACCGCGCATCGCAGCTGGCCTCGGTTGACCTTGGATCGACCCACATCAGACTCATCAGATCAGCCACCTTTGGCGCTGAGAAAGTTTAGGTTGAAGCCCAATGAAATAGAAGCTTATACGTGAAACCGGTCTGCTGAGACCCGAGCTGCTGCTTCAAGCCAAGACATTGGAAGCGTTCCTGTCATGTGAGGCAGTCAGAACGACGAGGAACGTGTAGAATCTCTTCGTTTCTAAAGCCTAGAATTTACATAAGCATGCTGT